GCCTGGCCCTGGCTGCGGAGGGGATGCTGCACGCTGGGCTGTGAGCCCCCACGTGCCCCGGGGCTCCGGTGCATCCGTACTCGGGCAGGGCTGGCGCTGGAGCCCTCTTTCTTACCTTCCCCGAAGTTTTCACCCCTTTCCACAGACTGAAGTAGACGATGGTGAAGATGAGGAAGAGGCAGAGGAGCAGCTGCCAGTGGATCCCCCCTATGTCGTACAGACCCCCGGACTTCTGGATCTCCAGGACCTTCCTCCTGCGGGCAGGGATCCCCACGGCCGGGGAGGGGGTCTCAGGCCAGCGCGGTGCTGCTGGCTCTGCCCTTGCAGGCAGCCGGGGAGCGGGCACAGCCCTGGGCAGGCAGCTCCATGCTCACCTCTCCCCTGGAGCACCAGGCACGGTGGCCCTGAGCTCCTCAAGAGCATCCCTACATGATGGCCATGGGCAGTAGCGTACCTGCTCCCAGGTACCCCCGTCCTACTCCCCACGCAGCAGACCTGAGTGCCACCACGGGGATGTGCCCCAGCTTAAACACATCGTCCACGTACATGCACTTACGTATAAAACTCTTCAGCGGGGGATCGGGAGAAGTTGGTCCAAGTCACGTTGCTCCTCCCAAAGTAGTTGGTGCAGTTGGGTGTGTTCCAGGGGTTGTTGCAGCTTGCCCAGGGCAGGGTGCCCGAGAAGGACGAGTAGAAGTAATAGAGAGCCCAGGCGATGATGGTGTTGTAGTAGAAGGAGACGTACAGGCCAATGATGCAAATGGCAAAGCCGATGCCTGGGCAAAGAGAGGGGCAGACTCAGTGGCCCGCGCCGGTCCAGCCCTCTCCCGGTCCCCCGGGACGCGGCTCTGGGGACCTGCACCGCCTGCACAGCCAACACCAACACTGCACGGCCCCCAGCCCATGGCGGTGGCCCGGGGTTGGGGGGCTCTTACCTTTAAAGATGGGGCAGATGCGCTTCCAGATGGGGATGGCGCCCGTCCTGTGGAACTGCCCCAGGGCCAGCTCCATGTAGAAGAGGGGCACCCCTCCGAAAACTGCCATCAGGGTGTATGGGATGAGGAAGGCTCCTGTGGGGTGAGGAGCAGAGCGGCGGTGACCACTGCGGCCCCGCGCCGGGCAGCGAGCGCAGGTGGGCTGCGGTTGGGGGGGCTGCCACTGCTGCCACCCCCACAGTGCTGCAGCGAGGTGTCACGGAGGAGCGTGGGCGAGGGGTTTGGACACGTGTTTTGTAAGGTGCTTTACAAATCATCTGTTCAGGGGGGTTCACAGATGTGAGGACTCGGTGCCCTGGACTCCTGCGCTGCGGTGTTAGTCCCCGCTGGCGTCCCAGCCTTCGCTGGGGGGGGATCATTTTGCCGGGGTGGTAGAAAGAGCAATAGAAACCATCAGGGCACAGGGGATGGGACCCCGAGCACCTCTCAGGTCTAGAAGAGTTTTGGAGAAAATCCCATTGATTTTCTACACGGTCACGCCAAGACACAAGTAATTAAGGCCATAATCTGCATTATTCATAACAATGTCATCTTCACCAGGGCTACACTTGTACCCCATGGAGGTTTTGGAACTGGAGCTGCTCTCTGCGTGCTTGTCAGAACAGCCCTGTTGGGATTAGTTAATTTAACCCCCACGGCTCCTCTCTCCGCGAGCCCTTCACGCGCTCCACCCTCAACCCCTCCAGGGTTCCTCTTCTAGGAACATCTCCAGCTGATGGCTGAGCCCACCACCGTCCCGGATGAGCGCTCCCACCCTGCGTGGACCGTGGCTGTCCTTTCCAAGAGCTGCCACCTGAACGTCTCACGCTCCCGTGTGCGTGGGGCAGGTGGGGAGAGCATCTCCCTGAACCACATCAACGAAGAGTGGGTAAAGTTTCCTCCTGGTCCCACAGGAGTAAATCACAAATAACTGTGCTTCAGTGTGGGCACCTGGGATCCACATTTTAGCCTTGAGTATGGTACTAATTATCTCCTCCTAATTTTCCCAAGCAGTAGAGGACGTTTCCCGACTGCCAACTTCCGCAATTAAATCCACTGTGCTTTTGCAAACAGCACAAAATTTTCATTCCTCAATTTTAATTTCCATGCCAGGGGTTTTTCTCCTCTGCTCTATTTAAAGCAATTTGTTTAGATGTCATTTACCCCTTTTTTTTTCCTTTCTCGGAGCTTTCGTGTCTTAACTTTCTGTTGACGACCCCCCCAGGAGGGAACACCCCGAGCCCTGCGCGGTGCGGGGCTGCGCGGTCCCCGGGAGCCGGGGATGCTCGGCGGCATCCAGCCGGGATCTGCGGCGGGCGGCTGGGACGCTCGTGAGGATTATTTTAAAACACGAGCCGTCAGAAAGGGCGGCTTTCACAAAGGTCACAAAGGGTACGAACCTCCCGCCCCAAATTTGCAGATTCTTAATCCTTTTATGCAGTTTGGACCACACTAGTTTTCTCTTTGTGATCCTAGAGCTGCTAACCCACCTCTCACCGGGGGAAGGAGTGAATGGCACCGGGGAAGGAGGAGGACACTGTGAATGGAGGAGGATTTTGAATGAAGAAAGACACAAAACAGAAAAGAGACAGATGTCAGGAGAAGTTGTTGGGTTTGTCTCTAAACTGCCCTGTCCAGAGAGGAGCAGGTAGAGACAAAGAAAGAAAAGAAACAGAGAGTTTTTCAGCCTGGGAAAGGTGAAAAACAGATTTCTTTTCTCCAAAAGAAGACTTAAATAATCCCAGTGGTGTCCTTACCCCCTCCGTTTTGGTAGCAGATGTAAGGGAACCGCCAGACGTTGCCCAGATCCACAGCGAATCCGACGACCGAGAGGAGGAAATCCATTTTTTTGCTCCACTTGTCCCTGGGGTGGGTTTGGGGTCCCGGGGGTGCGGGGCCGGCCGTGGGACCGGGGTGGGGGGCCGTGCCCTGCCAGGGAGGGCTGGCAGCGGGCGCCGGGCAGGGCTGCTCTGCCATCCTGTCGCCCCGGCAATTCAGGCTGAGTAACTTGGGGACGGGAAGGATTTTTCTGTTGCTGATGACAGATCCGAGGAGGGGAGGGTCAGGCTGACTGCGCTTCCCCACCTCCCGCTGGAAACCCACGGCACCGAGAGCAGCCGGCGGAGAAACCCATCCTCTGATCAAAGGCAGGAGGGGGGAGAGCGGTTTTCTGAGCGCAGGGCTGAGGCGCGGGGACCAGCATCACCACACGGGTTTCTGTCCCCTCCGCTCCCGGGGTCTGCGCCCCGGCAGGAGCATTTTGGGCTTGGGGTCAGTGCGACAGAACTGTACTCGCACACAGAGGTGCCCCTTCCTCCTGACAAAGAATTATTTCTTTCTACTTGGTGTATTTTGCAATTAGCGCTCTGCGAATGATGACACCAAACCCACCAAAGCCGACGAGGGCTCATTCTTGCAGGGGAAACTCTGCGGAGCGAGCGGTGCCCACAGATGCTCCCTGGCCGGGAGGCAACTGCATGGCACAACTGTGGCCACCGCTCGCCGTGGGCCCATTGGACCTGTTGTGTGCATCTCTGTGTGCTGCCGGCAGCCAGCGGCGCTCACGCAGAGCTGCCCGGTCCGAGCCATCCCGCATCACCCCGTCTGTCCTCATGGACCTGCTGGATCTTTCCGTAGCCCAGCGGGGGTGAGTGGTTGCCAATAAGCTGCTTGAAAGCAAAATAACTTTTGCAGTTCAGCTGCGATGAGGGAGGGGATGGCAGTGTACCAAAAGCCATCGCTCTCTTCAATTTGACAGTTTAGTAGCAAATTTCATCGCCTGCTTACAGCCCTGGCAAGTCCCTGGGTCTCGTCCCTGGCTGTGACACCAGTGTCGGTGCTGAGCTAGCCCTTGCCTTGGGCCACCCGGTGCTCCCAGAGCTCCATGGTGCTCCAGCACCGGCTTTTCCAGGCACCCTCATCTGTAATTACAAGAAACTACAGAAGAGATCAAACCGGGAACTGTGGTTCTTAGGGCCACGGCTCACGGGTTGCTGTGACGACGTGACGCCAGTCACCCAGCGTCTACCCGGCATGGGAAACCTCTGGACACTGTTAATCCATCAGGCACACGCATGGAGACCCGTTAGAAACGTCCACTTAAAAACACATATAGGTTTTTTTTTTTTGGGGGGTGTCTGGCGCTGCCTGTTGGAACTGTCGGACTGGAGCGGCTCGCGGGGATTGATGCTCGTCCCCTGGGTGGACGTCCCGGTGCTCTGGGTGGCTGCAGTGGGGTGGGCAGGACAGGCTGTGCCACGGTGGGCTTAGTCCAGGCTATGGTGGCACAGTCACCCTGGGGCAGGGACACGGCTCTGCCGGGGATGTCACCCCACTGGCTCTTCTCCCACACAAGAGCCCGTGTGAACAGGATTTTGTCAACTTAACCAGCTCCTCCTCCTTGTCCCCCTGCACTTGGCTGCCCCCAACGCCTTGCTGTGTGTCCCCAGGTTCTCCCTGCCCCGGAGCAGGGACCCCAGCAGCGGATGGCCAAACTGGGGTGCCCAGCCCCGAGCTGCCCCCTCCCAGCGGGCAGCGATGGGTGGTGGGTCCCCTCCGGCCACCCGCCTGCTGTGGGTCCCCGCGCAGGGCGGGCTGCGCTCGGCACGGCTTCTCCCTCTCCGCCTGTGAAATTATCATTCCTTTTAACACCTTTTTTTTTTGAAAATGCAACGATTTTCTGCCTGTGCGTTTTCAAGGAGTGGTGGGTACCGGCTCTCCGCACGTGCTTTTCTCCGAGCGAAGGTGTTCAGTCGGAGGGTGTGAGGCTGATCCCGCACCCCGGTCCCTGCGCTGGGTGGGGAGCGAGCGGAGGTTGGGGTGGTCCCGTCGCGGCCAGGCAAAGCCCCCCCCCCTCCACGAGCCCCACGGCTTTGCCGCTGCGGTTCTCCCCTGAGCTGAAACCCAGCACACGGATGAGGGACAATTAATCTCCTGCGGGTTTATACGGGATTTGTGTCACTCCTGGGACTTTGCAAAGTGGTGAATTTTAGCTGTAGTCCTTCCAGTAGGGGTGCGGGCGCAGCCATGGGAAATCAAAGCCGAGGCTGTGCTCTGGGGCTGCGGGGGGCGGCGGAGGGGCTGCCCGTGTCCCTTCTGCGGGATGAAGGTGAGAAACCCCTGCTGCTGATGTGATTTGAGGAGAGTGCTGGGGGAAACAAGGTTTAATCCCCCCAACCGAGGACCATTTTAAGGGCACAAATGACAGAACGGAGACGGCTGGTGCCATAGCAACTGTAAAAAAATAATAGCTCTTTCTCCGTAGCTGACCCTTCTTTTCTCCAGGTAGTTCACACACAGCAGCTTGGTGTGCCGAGTGTGGAGACCCTCCTGCACCCAGACCCTGCTCCCTGCTCGGGAAGCCTCAATAGATGCGCTCTGAGTCAGTCCCAGTCCCCACAGGAGGCTGCGCTGGCGGGGAAGAGGGGACTGGTGGTCTGTGGTGGTCTGTGGGGGTCTGTGGGGGTCTGCGGTGGTCTGTGGGGAGCAGGTCCCCCCACAGCATCCCTCAGCGCGGGGCGCTGTGCTGAGGCCACTTCCTGGGTGCGCATCAGATGCCGTTCAAACACTGGCATCCTTTTTAAAACAAAGCTCCTTGCTCTCCTGAAGAGGCTCTGTTTTTCCTCACATTGATCTTTTAAATGGCAGGAGGTGGGCTTTGTACTCGCACCTTGGGCAAAGGTGCATGTCCTCGCACCACGGCACGGCCGTGGCTATTCCCACAGCATCTCCACGCCAGAGCTGCATGGTGGTTTGGCAACGCGGGGATGTGCAGCCTGCACATTGCCGTCTAAAAGCTCCCTGCACCAAGGCACCGACCGGTATCAGTGTCCCCACACGCCAGTGCTGCTCTGCTCCGGCCGAGCCGATGTGCCGCACGGTCAGTTTGATGCTGCTGTTGCTGTTCCAGCATCCTCCACCCGTGACAGATCCCGCCCCGGGGTCCTCGCTGGGGAATGAGCCGCGAATGCACCCAGCACTCCCATCCTGCTCCCACCTTCTCCTTGGGTGCCCAATCGCCCACCCGTGCCGCTGCCCGCTGCCCCTCCGCACCGACCCGCTCATGCGGCTGCCTCTTCTCCGGCATGGGGTCAAGGCTGCCGCTGTCAAGTCAATGAGGAGAGAGAGCTTTGAAATCTCAATATTTTTATTTTTTTAGAAGCTGGAAGCTGGAAAAACCACTGCAGGTTCTCAGGGCTGCTGGAGATGGGAGGAGGGCAGAGGGAGAGGTGTCTTTGGGAGATGGTTTTCAGTGTGAGGAGTTGTGCTCCCCAGACTCAGCCCCGGTGCTTTGGGGTCCCACGAGCGCTGAACTCCCAGCAGGATCCTGGCTTTGTGACCCCCTGGAAAGATGAGTTTTCCCCAGAGTTTTATTTATTCTAATCACAGTTTTACAGCCCCCACGTAAGGACCAAGGTGTCTTGCTCCGGCTTGGCCCATTGTCCTGCTTTGAGCAACACAGGACTAATTTCTGTTCTAATGCCTGGGAAAACTGCACTTTTAAAAGACTCTGTTATCTGAATTTGTGAAAATATTTACTTTATAGCTGGCTATGGTGTGTGGGTTCCAAGGTCTCGGTGTTTTCGAGCTCACCAGGTGCTGGGATGAGGAGGAGCGAGACCCAGGCACTTGGCCCAAAGTGGCCAACAGGATTATTTCATTATTTCCCCGTCCACGGGGGAGTTTTCTGGGTAAAATGTTGTTATTTTGCCAATTGTAGCTCAATATTTTTGTCCATCATCTGACACTCAGTTAGAAGCCTTTCAGAGAGGCGGCTCTGGAGACTACATAGCGTTTGAAATCATACACAGCTAAAGTCAGCGGCGCTGGATCTGGGCGAGGAGGAAGGGGCCGCAGCAGGCGGCCTCGACAGGCATCTCTGCTGGTCCTTTACTGCAGCTCACGTGCTGAAAGCCGGCTGGTCCCCTGCGCACCGGCCATCCTGCTGTCTAAATACCTGCAACATCACCGTCAGACATACTCTGTGCACTCCCTTCACCTGGTTACTTTTGCTTTGTCCTCTTATTTTCCTTACTCAAAGCACAAATCACTTTAGATTTAAAATGTGGAGTTTAAATCTAGCTCAAATCAGATTTAAATTTGAATTTCCATCGAGTTAGAAGTTGTTTCTAAACAGTACGATTATTTGATTAGCAGATTGCTTTTATCCTACCTGCTCATCCGTGCAATGAAATGCAGAGGAGTGAATTGCGGTCTTAAAACAACTATCCTGTTTAAGCCGCAGAGGCAGCAGTGGGAAGTTTAATTTAATTAGCATGATACTCAGAGATGTAACTTAATCACATTAAGTATAGATCAACGTGCTCTCATTTAAGCTCTCCAGACTTCAAAAAAACAGGGGCCAATCATCTCCTACCCGTCTTTAATCCAGGGAGAAGCAGAATTTTCCAAGGAAAAGGAAGCAGCAAGGCTTATGGAGAGTTCATCCCTGTGCTTGTTTAAGCTAATTTCTCCCCAAAGGAAGGTAATATATTAGTAATAGCTCCCACTCCCTCTATGGCACCGCTGTTCCTGGGGAGAAAGAAGCCAGGCAAATCACTTGTCCCTCTCCGATGGCCTAAATGTTGCCCTAGTCGGCACGTGGTCCCACAGAAATGCCGGCACCCCCAACCACCAGAACCCCTCTGGGTTCGTTCGGCGTGCAGACACTGCCCACCCCGTGTTAGTGAGCCTGCGGTACCGCAGAGAGATTGACAGGACTGAAGATCGTACAAAACCAGCACGGTTCATTAACAGGAATCAAAATGATGTTCTCGCTCCTCTGGGCTTCCCTCCACCAGTGTGGTGCATTTGGGTCAGGCTCACCGGGTGGGCACTGGTCCCCCGAGCTCGGCAGAGCCCCGCAGGAGTGCAGGTCCCCTCGGCATCACCCCTCGGCCGCATCCTGCCAGCACCAGCACGGGAGGAACCAGGCAGTGCTTGTCTGAGCACAAACGCTACGGCAGAGCTGCCAAGGTCTTCTGGGTGCTGGAAAAGCTGCTTGGGCTCACCCTGGCCCTTAAAATAAGTGGATTTTGTTGGGCAAAGTCCTAAAAGAGTTGTTTTCGCTCAGCTTGGACAGACTCGTTTTCTTGATTGAGGTGCTAAACTGAGCAATTCCTGACGTCTCCTGCCAGTCAAGAGACAGGTCGATGCTTCCAACATCATTTTCACGATAGCAAAAGTGAGAAACAGGCAGGAGAAACTCGCCTGCCTGTCCAAGCCCGAGATCAAAGCTTTGTCGGGCAGCCCAGGCTCTCCTGGCTGGTTTACGTCAGACAGTCATCCTGGGCTGGGAAAGCTTTACAGAGACCAGAGCTGTGCAAGGTGCCATGTGTGACACGTCCGTGTTGTGCCCCAGCTCCTTGGGAACCTGGCACCTTTTCGGTTCCAGCACCCGCAGGTACACGGAGCCACGGCTCTGCACTGTCCCAGCCGCAGCTCAGGGGCAGGGGAGCCAGTTGGCTGTCTCTGCCCTTGGTAATTTGGTTCTCTGTTGATATCTGATGGCACTCCTACATGGTGTTTTATGAGGCTGCGATGCCTTCATTATGAGTGTTTATTAGCCTGTCTTAATTGCCCATTCAAGACTGCAGGACTCACGGTCTTCAATAAATGACAGGCAGGGTTGTGGAGCAGCAGAGCTCAGTACCAGCCGAGGGGGCTGACTGCGAGCACAGCCTGAGTCCTGGCTGGCCACGACGGTCTCGGGTCAGACCTGGCAAGCCCTGGGCTCCTGCCTCTTAGCACCTTTGGTCCTTCTCCTCCCGCACCCCTTTTGGAGGAAGGGGATCCCATCTGCAGGGGCTCTCCACAGACAGACCCCTGGCGCAGGCTGCTGGGCAGAAGAGATGCAATGGTGCCACCTGGTGAGACCGGGCAGGCGGGCTCGCTGCCTTGGGGGTCCGCAGCTGATGTTCGCGGGGAGTGGACACGCAGCCCTATGGACAAACCAGGCGCGACTCCCCAAAGGTGGCACGCCGACTCCTGTGTCGCTGGCCCAGCCTGAGGTCAGGGGTGACTCCCCAGGCTGAGATCAGCATCCCAAGGGTCGAGTCAACACTCAGCAACTGCAGACAGGAGTTGTGACCCCCACCAGCAGCACCCAGAGATGCCCAGGCTGGACTCCCATGGAGGCCAGAACCTTTCTGGGATCCACCTGGATCAGCAATTACATATCCCCAAGCAAGCTGGCCCTGTCGCTGCAGTTCAGTAACATTTGTGCTGCCACCACCTCTGTTAACAGGGTATTTAGAAAGCAAATAAACAGTGGAAAGCAAATAGCATACAAGGAAATAGGTTTTGTCTACAATGGATATGGCACGGGGTCTCTCCTGGCCCCTGTGGCGGCGGTAAAGTACAGAAGGGGCTGAATTCTGGTTAATCCCCAGTTCAGAGCTCCCTCCTTTCCTCCCGGCAGATGAATGCCCAGCATGGGTGGCAGAGGGGAGCCGTTGGGATGGATGATTCCTGCCGTCTTCAGGGCCACCCACCACCAGCATGGGGTAGAAGGCAGCTGCTGGGAGGCAGAGGACGCAGCCCAGATTGTGGAGTAGCGACGGAGTGGTGCCCAGGGCTGCAGGGGCTGGGAATTTCGAACAGGCTGTGACCTTCCCTGCTCTCTGTGAGCCCCTTCCCAAGTTGTGGCAGTGAGTCCCATCCCAAGCGATGTCAGCAAGGACCAGCCAGGGCCGTGTTGGCGGCTGGCAGCTGCGTGCCGGCATGCAGCATGGCCGGGCACCGCTGCCCTCGCGCTAATGTGGTTTGTAGTTATTGGAAACTGGACTGCGAAGGAGCCGGGATCCTGTTTCTATGGAAATGTCCTGGAACAGCAAACCAGGGAAGAGAAAAACAGAAGATATGTTAATGGGCGCTGCTCAGCAGGCCATTCTCTGAAGGGGCTGTGATTTTGATAGGAAGCATCTGGGGCCTCCGGTGAATACGTCTTCTCGGCTCATTATCACCTTCCTGGCGTGGAAGAGCCCACCGGAGCCTGCCTGGATGGTGCATGGCTGCTGGGACATTGCCGCTTGGCACCTCCTGGAGCTTCCGAACCACCATACGATGCCGGACATGGCCACCTGCACCTACCACAAAACCACCCTGCAT